GGGCTCACTCTTAGAAGCAAGCCCCCATGCTGGGAAGAAGCCATGTGACCACAAAGAAGCAGTATGTGCAGGTAGGTGTCCCGGCCCCGGCAGGGTACTTGGCAAACCCCATGTCGACTACCAAACACATGCAGGAGCATGAGTGGTCCCAGCAACCAGCCTTCTGGCTACTCCAGCTGATGCTGAGTTGTACCCATCAGAGGCCTGCCCACGTTGCAGGTTTACAAAATAAATGTCATCTTTTCAGCCCGTTTTGAGGTGGTTATTTGGGACAATAGATAACTGGTGCTGACTTAGATCTCAGTGGTGGCTGTCACCTGGCTGTCTATAGCCAAACAACATCAATGAGCTAGGAATCCAATGTTCTATTTTGTCATTTAGGTTTATGGCACCTGTGAGACATCAAAGAGGACATGTCTGGTAGGCATCTGGGTGAAAAGGAGGGAGTGAAGGGGTGGCATAGAGGACACAGCAGGTAGCATGACAGAGATGGCACCCAGAGGCCCGGAGGATGAAGTCAGAAGGGGGGGGGTCATGAGATTTAGTAACATGGTCAGTAGTGTCTTGGACATAACTTTGGTGGACTGGTTGGGTCGAAGCCAGGTTAGAAGGGTTTGAAGAGGAAATGGGGAAAAAGTAAGAAAAGAGACAATTATTTTGAGAACTTTGTCCATAAAGAGGAATAGAAAATTGGGGTTATGATTCGGAGAGAGGAGCTGGGTCAAAGGAATGGTTCAAGCTACTAACCAACCTACTGTATAGCATGGTGAATTCTACTCGATACCTTGTGGTGATGACCTATAATGGAAAAGAATCTAAAAAAGAACAGATATATCTGTAGTGTATAAGTGAAACACTGTTATACACCTGAAACAACATTGTTAACCTACTGCATTTCAAGAAAAATTAAAATCAAATCACATGAGACTAGAAAATAAAGAAAGAATGGAAGCTAGAACATATTTGATGAATGTAGATCCAGGAGTGAGGAACAAATGGATCCCACAGGAGAAAGATGGGGTCATCTTAGGACTGAAGAATTCCTCAGAAAAGAGGGGAATGTTGTGATTCTGGCCAGAATAGCCCTCTTATTGTGAAAAACTAGAAAACTAGACAAAATATCTGAAACAACTATTTTCAGATATTGGACTACTGGCAGTGATCAGAAGGAAAACAAATGTTGTGACCGCTATGAGCAGCCTGGCATTTCTGCCTAGGGGTACTTTCCAGGATATGATGCAGCTCCAGAGTAGAACCAGTGGTCTCAGTTATTAGAGCTAATGAGCCAACAGGAGAGAAATAATAGAAAACAAGAAACATGTGATTAATCAACATATTAGGGACAGAGGAAAAGAGGAACAAAGGACAGATGTGACAGACAGAAAATAAAAACCAGTTGATAAACTGAAAAAAAAAGCAGTTGATAAACTGAAACCTAACCATCACATGTAAATGGACTAAACAGACGAATTAAAAAGGTAGAGATTATGAAACTGGTTAAAAAAGATAAACCAAAACAAAAAGTAACACTGAACCATATGCATCTATAAGTGCACTTTAAATTCAAAGACACAGAACTGAAAAAAGGGCTATACCAGGTAACAAATTAAGCACAAGGAAGTTGGGAGTAGCCACTTTTATCCACACCAGACAAAGCAGACATCAAAAGAAAGAACATTACCAGAGATAAAGAGGGGCATTTCATGATGCTGAAAGAGCCAATTTATAAAGAACACAATCCTGAACATGTATGCACCCAATGATACTGTCAAAATACATGCAGCAAAATCTAAAAGAATTGAAAGGAGAAAGATGGAGTTATAGCTGGAGATTGCAATCCAGAGACTCGAACACTATCAACCATCTTGACCTGACACTTACAGAATACTCCACCCAACTGCCGAATATATACTCTTTCCAAATACACATAGAACATTCACCAAGCTAAACCATATGTTAAGTCATGAAGCAAGTCTCAATTATTTTCAAAGGAATGCAACTATACAGAGTAGATTCTCCGACCACAACAGAATTAAAAAACACATAACATACAGGTATCTGTAAAATCCTCAAGTATTTGGAAACTAAATACACCTCTAAGTAAGACATTAAAGAAAATAATCACAAGGAAAAGTAGAAAACATTATGAATTGAATGACAATGAAAACAACATATCTAAATCAGTAGGATGCAGCTAACGGTGTTCTCAAAGGGAATTTATAGCCTTAAATGTTTATATTAGAAAAAGAAACTTTTAAAATCACTGATTTAGGATTATACTTTAAGAAGTTGGAAAAAAGATGAGCAAATTAAACCCCAAATAAGATTTATTATTCCAAAACAAGTAAAAGAAAGGACATGATAGTGGAACTTAATAAAAGAGAAAATGGACAATAGAGAAAAATCAGTGAAACCAAACTTGCTTCTTTGAAATTATCAATAAAATTGATAAGCCTCTATTTAGGCTGATCAAAAAAAAAAGGAAAAACATGGAACTTCCCTGGTGGCCCAGTGGTTGGGAATCCGCCTGCCAAGGCAGGAGACATAACTTCAATCCCCGGTCCAGAAAGATCCTTCATGCCACAGAGCAACTAAGCCCATGAGCCGTAACTACTGAAGTCTCTGTGCACCCCAACAAATGCTAGCTTCCACTCGCCACAACTAGAGAAAGCCTGTGTGCAGCAGTGAAGACCCAGCACAGCCAAAAATAAATTCAGAAAAAGGAAACACACAAATTACCAGTATTGGGGATGAAAGAGGGGCTATTGCTATATATCCTATATATATCAAAGGGTAAGGGGGCATTATTAAGTGTATGTCAACTTAGATGAAATGGGCAAATTCCTTAAAAGACACCAATTGCTAAAACTGACACATGAAAAAAATCTGAAGGGCCTGATATCTAATTAAAGAAATGGAATTTATAATGAAAAACCTTCCCTCAAAGAAAACTCAAAAAAAAAAAAGAAAAGAAAAAAAAGAAAATTTCAGATGCAGAGGACTTCACTGTTGATTCCATCAAACATTTACAGGAGTGACACTTAAGCATATTTGAGCCATTTAACAACCTAGGAGGAGAAGGAAACTTTCCAACTTACTTTATGAAAGCCTATCTGATAGCAAAACCAGGTAAAGATATTACAAGACAACTACAGATTGGTATCCCTCATGAACAGATGCAAAAATTCTCAAACAGTATTAGCAAATAGAATTTAGCAATATATAAAAGGGTAACATCATGACCAAGTGTTGTTTTTATCTAAGGAATATAAAATTGGTTTAATATTAGAAAATCAACTTATGGGATTTACTACATTGACAAAATACACCTATGACAATTCTATTGGTAGCATCATACTTCATGGTGAAATATAACACTTTGCACCTAATACTGAGAACAAGGCAAGGATGTCCCCTTTCACCACTTCTATTCAATACTGGACCAGAAGCCCTAGCTAGTGTAACAAGGTAAGAAAAAGAACAAAGGGAATTCCCTGGTGGGTCAGTGTTTAGGATTCTGCACTTTTACCACATAGACCTGGGTTTAATCCCTGGTCAGGGAACTAAGATCCCACAAGCTGCACGGTATAGCCAAACAAAAAAATAAAGAAAGAAATAAATGAAAAAAAGAACAAGAGCTAAACAGCATACAGAATGGAAAGGAAGAGGTGAAACAGTCTTTATTTGCACATGAGATGGTTGTGTGCATAAGCCACCCCACGGTATTTACCAAACAACTATTAGAGCTAATGTGTAAATTGAAGCAAGGTCACAGAAGGTAAAGCCAATGGACAGAACTCAATTGTGCTTCTATGCACAAGTAACGAGCAGTTAGAAAAGGAAACAAAGATGCCATTTATAATAAAAATGTGTAACATGGGGGGAAATGTAACAACCTGTGAAAGTACTGCTAGGTAGTAGTGTTGTGTGACCTGTTACCAGCATGGCGGCTTACTGGGAGAGGAAGCAAGTACCTGCAGAGGATTTGGGGATGGGGTGGGAGACTGGTGTCTGGGTTTGGACAGTCAACCCTGAGAAGAAAGGCCCTGGACAAGTTCAGGGCTTTGCCACAAAGTCTATGAGTACAGCCAGAGATGGAAGGGTAAGCTTTTATTACTCCAGGAGAACTTGGACTCCACCAATGCCTCGCTTATGTGGGGCCTGTAGTGTGACTCATGACTGCAGACACAGAAGCATCTGGAGCCTCTGCTACAGCCCTGGGCTGCTCTCAGAGACACTCAGTGACACAAACCCTGACTTGCTCCGAAAACTCGGAGTCCCCTTGTCTTTTTCCTTCCTCTCTGCCTGGCTCCCAACTTCCTGCCTTCTTGGGGCTTCTCACAGTCTGGGTGACACATGGTGTGTGCCAAGCCAAATCTGGAGCGGGACGGAGCATGACCCCTCTGCCACAAGCTGTGCCTGGGGTGGAGCTTGTGGTCTGGAGAGCCCGGCCTGGCTCGGTGACCGTCTGCAGCACCAAGAGGTGGCCTGGGTGGTGGGCCAGCTTCTGCCCTCCTGGGGCAGCCTGCAGACATTGGCCTGGCGGGAGGCGCTGCGGGACTCCTCGGGGCCTCTTGGAACTCCCACTTCCAGCTTGTGGACTGAACCACAGGCCAGCCACACCTCTGTGTTTCCCAGTTACAAGGCTGGGAGGGGCCCCCGCCTTGATGGCTCTGTACCCTGTAGCCCTGGGCTACAGATTCCCTGCCCAACTGGCAGTGCCCACTCCTGGCTCCTCCTTGGCCCTTCCAGAGCCAGTGGCCTTCCGCTTCTGCAGATGCTGGACTGAGGGCAGGTCACAGAGATATCCCTGCCCTACTCAGGGCAGGGGGCTCCAAGCCCAGCCCCTAGAGTGTCAGGGCCACCACGTGCCCTCCTCCAGGCGGATGGAGCTCCCCTACCCCCAGTGCCCACAGGCCGCCAAGGGGTTGAGGGCCATGAGAACTTCTGACCATGAGAACTTGGACTTCCAGGTTTAGGGATCGGCCCAGGCGGGCGGTTCAGCTCCGAAACTCGTCTCTCTCTTCGGGCCCCTGACTGTCCCGCAGGTCCCGGCCCGAGTCTGCACAGTGGGTAGGAAATGCCAGTCAGTTAGCTGACAGTAGGGCTGCCCTACCCCCTCACTCCCGGGGCACTCTCTGGACTTAGTGGTTTCCATTCTTCAGCAGCACTTCTTTGAATGGAACCTGCCCAGCGGGGGCTTCATATGTTTCAGAAGCACAGGCAGGGCTGGCAATGCCAGACTACAGGGAGGGGGAGTGTTGGAAGGACAGGGAGGTGGGACAGGACAGGACCGGGCTGTGCCCAGAGCACATGATTTCTCAAAGGCCACCATTCTCGGGGGGTACCTGGGAGAGAGCTGGACGAGAGCAGCTGCAGGCTGTCTAGGACTCCATCCTCGTACAACGCCAACTTCTGCAGCATCTTCCGTCGCGCCGGATTGATCACAATCTGTGGGGGCTGCGAGGACGTGGAGCTGCCCAGGAGGGGCCCTGGAGTGGAGAGAGGACCCTCTGAGCCTCTGGGAACTCCCTGCTGACACTCACTGCTGGCCTCACGAGTCTTCCCCATCCCCAGCCTAGCTCCCTCCCTGCCCTCCCGAAGGACAGAGGTCCTGAGCGCTCTGTCTGTCTATGGGCAAGGCCTGGAGTCCAGTTGTGGACTGGGCCTGCCTTGCTCCTGGCCTGTCCTCAACCAGCTGGGGGCATGGCACAGCGAGATGAGATGGCCCAGGATGGTCCTTCTGTGGACCTTCCTGGGTCAGGTGAGCAGCCCAACCCAAGAGGGCAGCCTGCAACTTTCTAAGGACAGACGGAGCTTCACGGTGGGTCCTGGGTCTCTCCACCCAGAAGGCTGGGGTGGGGAGGGTTTGCCCGGAAAGGAGGCCTTTGGTCCCCCTGCTGGTACCTTCCACAGCTGTGGGCTGGAGACCCGGGCCGCTCCCCCAGCTTGACTCTCGGGCGGCACCTCCTTGGGTGTGGGCAGCCTGCCCGAGGGGTGCTGGCGCCCAGCTGGGGGCCCCTGGGCCCACAGGGCAGCTGGGGCTCAGATGCCAGGAGTGCAGGGCAGCGGAAAGGTCAGACACGCTCTCGTCACTCTCCACGGGTTGGTTGGCACCTTTTTGCGGCCAGTCTGTAGCCTGGGCCTGGGCCCCCGAGGGCGCCACCAGGGGCTGCTGGGGGCTGGCACGGCTCAGGGCGCTCCTGCTGGTGGACATATAGGAGTTCTCTTGCGGGGAAGGAGGGCTGTGGCTAGAAGTCTCCGGCTCCAGGAATGGCCCTGCCACCGCCACCTGCAGCTCCTCCAGTGTCTGGTACACCTGCAGGGAGGGACAGGGGCTCTCAGGGTGAGTGGCCCTGTCCAGGTCCTCGCAGAGGGTGGCGGAACCACAGGGCAGCTCCGGGTCGGGGCCGGAGAAGAGAATCATCGCCACTAAAGCTAAGGACTGAGAGCGGCTTCTCTTTGTCCTCGAGAAAGCAAACCTCGTTGCCCTGATGCCCTCCATGATGCTTCTTTCTTTTCTCAAGAGAGATAAATTAAGGGATGGGATGGGGAGGGACATGGGGGGGTTTCAGGATGGGGAACACATGTACACCCACGGCTGATTCATGTGAATGTACGACAAAAACCATGACAATATTGTTAAGTAATTAGCCTCCAATTAAAATAAATAAATAAATTTAAAAAAAAAGAGAGACAAAGAGGTGGAAGGTGGAAGGGACACAAAAAGGCAGATGCAGTGGCGCCAGGCACCCAGAAGGGGGCGCAGTAAAAAGCCAATCGCCTCCCTCTCTGTACCTGGCCGGGTTCAGTGGGGACTCAAGCAGAAACAAAGGGCAGGCAAGCAACATGTGGAGACTGGCATCTCAAGCACTTCCCGTACCCCCAGCTCACAGGACTACCTGGGTCATTGGGGGTCTCCTCTTGGCCCGGCGGTGCAGGCAGCAGCAAGCTAGCTGGCCCAGGGCCAGGCCCAGCTCTGGTGGGCACGGCCCCGGCCTGGGGTCCAGGTGCTTCTTGTAGATCTGGGCGGCGACTGGGGCGGCCCACGTGTCTGCAGCTGGCCCGCCTTGGACTGTGGTCTGGGTGCCCTTCAGGGTCACCCCGGCCTCCTCAGCCTCCTCTTCAACCAAGTCTTTCTGTGGGACATGCAACGTGAGTCTGACCCCTGTGGGCCGTGCCTTGTGCTGCCATCCCCTGGCCCTCGTCTGCATATGCTCAGCGCTGACCTGGGACCCTGGGATCCAGCCACACACCCAGCACCTGGGCTGGCTTTCACAGAGCTGACTTCCTGAGAGGGGAGAGACATTGATATGCCTCGAAAACCAGGGGAAACCGCGGCAGGGAGGCCCCTCTAGGGGTTTTGATGGTGGGGGGGCAGGCCCAAGCAAGTGACACTCGGGCTCTGATCAAAAGATAACAACTAGCCAGAGAGGGCGGGGCACAGAGGGGAGAGCCCCATGGAGATTGGGGGGACAGGACCAGACAGGAAGGACCAGGAGCAGACCCTGGGGTCAGAGGGCATGGCCTCTCAGGCAGAGGACCAGGGAGCCGCCAGGTCTGGAGGACAGACAGAAAGCTGGCAACCACGTCAAGGGTCTGGGCCTTCACCCCAAGCACAGCAGGGGTAAAGGGGTTCTGCCACCTCCTCACAGTTTTGAAAGAGCTTTTTGGTGGTTGCCCAGAGAAGCCGTGGTGGGGACCCTGTGGGGTCTGGCATGCTGCCCCACAGCAGTGCTGACAATGGGCCTGAGTGCCGATCTAGTTGGTGCCCGGTTCTGGCAGAGACCCCTCCGAGACCCGGGAATGGACAGAAACAGCCCCAAGCCTGGGCAACACACTGGCTTATACAGTGTGAAGGATCCTGCCGACTAAACAGAGAGGAGCTGGATTTTGGGCTCTGGGTCAGTCCATGGAGGAGCAGACCTGCCCCTCAAAACCCAGGGAAGGTGTCTGGGGTGAGGGGGGACATGGTCCAATTCCCAGCCATTGCCTCTCCCAGGTCCCTTGATTCTGCTTTCCACTGTGATCAGGCTGCACCCCACCCTCTCTGACCCCCCCTCAACCCAGGTAGGGTCTGGAAGGGCCCGCGGCACCTGCCGGGGACGCAGGTTTGTCCCCGGCCAGGCAGATACAGCTGTCTGGGGCCCTGCCTACTCTCAACGATGAGTCAGCAGCAGCTGGACTGGCTCCTGCGGGGCCCTGCGTTCCAGACTGTTCCACCCTCCCTCTCTCCCTCCCCACCTGCCTCGGGAGGAGGCTCACCAGATACTTGGGCTGGGCGCCATGCATCCTCACAGCCCTCTGGCCAGCCAGGGTCTCCAGCAGCACCTGCAGAGAGAGCAGGCTGCAGACTGGGGCCACCGAGAACCCGCTCACGGGACTCAAGCTTGGGGGGTCTGGAGGGCCCACATGGAGCAGAGGAATGGAAAACGACAGACATGAAGGTGTGAAACTGCATAGAGTGCCCGAGCTGGGGAGGACGGGTCCCAGGAGCTGAAGCTGGTCAGGCCTGCTGGGGGATTCTCTGGGGGCCACGGTCGCCCACCCCCAGACCAGCCAAGGGCCCCGCAGCTCACCACGCCAAAGCTGAAGGTGTCGGTGTCCACGGCCAGCCTCCCGGTCTTCACGTACTCCTCAGGCAGGTAGGCCAGGGTGCCGCGCACCGTCCGAGTCCGGGCCACGCTACTGCTCTGTCCAGGGTTGGCCCCCGCAAACCGGCTGAGACGGGCCAGGCCAAAGTCCCCCAGTTTGGGCATCAGTCTCTCATCCAGAAGGACATTGGAACTTGGGGACAGAAGGCAGTGGTGTCAGCCTGGCCATAGCCCTCTCTGCGACTCATCACCCCTGCACCTACTGCCCCCTGCCTGGTCCTGAGACAATCAGACCAGAGCCACCGACGTGCACCTCAGTGGCAGACTGTGCCCCATACTCATGGTGTTCTGGCCCCTTGAGGCTTTGAGCAAGTGGCCCCCGGAGCCCCATCCTGCAGTTGAGGCCCTGTTCACCAGTGGGGCCCATCCTTGGCCTCTGAGTCCACCCCTGGCTCACACTGGATGCTCAGTGACCCGCAGACCCCAGCCCTGATGTCCCCTGTTCTCACGGGGATCGCTCAGGGCCAGGCTCCCAGGGACCAGGCAGCAGGCACCTCCGGTCACTGCTGGTGGGAGGTGTGGGAGCATCACCCCTTGCCACAGGGCTCCTGCCAATCTCGAAGGCCCCCAGGGGCTGGCCATGTCCCCGCCTCACCTCTTGACATCTCCATGGATGAGGCTGGGGCTATCTTGATGTAAGAACTGAATTGCCCGGGCCGTGCCCAGAAGGATGTCCAGTCGCTGAGGCCAGGAGAGAGGGGGCCAGGCCTGTGTCTGGAGGGGCACAAGGAAGAAAGGGGAGACTGCGGAGCCACCATCTTTGATGCCTATCCATGCTTCCCCTGAGTGCTAAAGTGTCAGGTCAGAGATGTTCCTGTCCCGGGCTTGGTCAGCCCTTGCATCTTGTGGGTGCCTCTCTAGATGGGGCCCAGTGACTGTCTGTTGCCTCTTGCCCTCTGGGTGATGCCACCAAGACCCTTCTGCCACTCTGCTTGCCCAGGGGAGCAGACAGAGCCCCTTTCAGAGGCCCCGTGAGCTCGGCTTCCGAGCACGGAGAGGCCCCACTCACCGAGGCCAAGGGCCCTGGCCCCATGTCCCGCTCGGACCAGGTGCCAAGCGTGACACAGTGTGCCAGGCCAGGCCAGGCAAGGCTTACCTGGATGTGGAGGCGGTCTTCCAGGGAGCCATTGGGCAGGAAGCCATAGACAAGGCAGTAGAAGCCACTCTGAGCACAGTAGCCGGCAAAGTCCACGATGTTGGGGTGACGAAACCTACTTGAAACAGTGGGGTCTCAGCGCTCTGCTCCCAGCATCCAGCACGCCTTCCATCCAGCCATCGCAGGGTGGGGTGTGGGGTGCGGATGGTCCCTAGCCAGGTTCCCCGGCTCGCCTGGGCCTGGCAGGCTGCAGACCAAGGGGGAGCCAGGTCCCCAGACATGCGGTCCTGGCAGGGCCCTGCTCCTGCCCGCAGGCTCACCGCGACAGCTGCTGCACTTCAGTCTGGAAGCTCTGCTTCACTGTGGTCCACTCCAGGTCGGCCTCCTGCAGCCCTCGGGGAGAATGAGGCAGGGGGGACTGGCAGTGTGAGACACCTGTGGCCCGGACTTCACGGCCACCCCCCCTGCCACCTGTTCTGGGCCCAGAAGGAGCATGGGGCTGGGGGCCCTGGACTGCGAAATCAGAGGGCTGAAGGAACCCTGTGGGGTCACAAAGGGGGCGGGGGAGGACTACAAAAGCCCAAGTCTGGGAACAGCCATCGAGGGCCCTGGCGAGGATGCTCCACACACCTCCTTGAGCCTCTTCACAGCATAGACAGTGTTCCTCATCACCGCCCGGTACACACAGCCAAAGCCACCTTCCCCAATCTTAAGCTCCTCTGAGAAGTCGTGTGTGCCCTGGCAAATCTCATGGAGGGGCCAGCAGAACGAAGAGGAGGGGGCCCCTGGCAGAAGGGACACGGGGCTCTCCGGGCTGGGCTGTGGGAAGAGACCCTGTATCAGGTGAGGTCCTGTGTCTTCCCCTCTGCCTCAGCCCACCCTTGCTGGGCTGCCTGGGGTGGCCCAGGGGACCAAAGGTGGCTTTGTCACTGCTTGCTGGCATCAAACCTCTGGGTGGGGGGCAGGACCCACCTACCTTGGTAGATGAGGGGGCTGGAGATGGCAATGGTGGCTGGTGGGCAGCTGGGCTTGGTCGAGGACAGAGCTCAGAGTCAGAGTGAGTCTGAAAAGCTTCGTAAAGACACCAGTCAGAGGCAGGCAGAGGCCAGTGGCAGGATCTACTGGCGTGGCCAGGAGCAAGGGGGTCCTTTCCTGAGGTTCATCAGGCCAACCCCCACAAACCACCCCAACCCCGGCTGTCTTACCTGGGGAGAGGAGGGTGGAGGCCAGAGATGGCAACTTCCGGTGGCCGGGAGCCGCAGCCTCGGAGGGTGTGGAGATGCTGCTGGGTGTCGGGGAGGTGGTGCTAGGGGGCAGAAGGGGGGCGGGAGGGTGCCCTGGGAGGCCGGGGAAGGAAAGGACGTTAGGCCCAGGCTGGAGGGAGGAGCTCTGGGGTAAGCCCTGGGTGGCCCCTGGCCCAGGGTCCTGGGGGTCCCAGGGGTCCCCGGGGCCGCGCTCACAAGCAGTGATGATGTCCCGCGCCCGCAGCAGCTGCAGGTGCGTGAGGATGCGCACGAGGTCGGCCACGCGGGCGTTGCGGTTGATCCACGGCCACAGGACGCTGGCTGTGCGCTGCCCGGAGCGCTCGCACAGCCGCAGCTCGGTCTGGTCGCGGACGATCAGGGCAGCTGCGGGGCAGGGGACGTCAGGCCGCGGCGCCCGGGTCCCCGCGCGGCTCCCCGGCCCGCCCCGCCCCGCCCCTGCCGGCCTGCGGCCACCCACCGAACTGGCACCAGTCGGCGGGCTCCAGGGCGTCCATCACTTTGTAGAAGCGGCACATGACCCAGGGCGGCACCTCGTACAAGAAGTGCTGGGCGCCGGGGACCGCAGGGTCTCCCGGGCCCGGCCCCCCGGCCATGGCCACCGCCGCCGGGCCGGGGCCTCTCCGGGCCGCGGCGGGCGCGGGCCTCGGCCGGCCGGGTCCCCAAACACTGACTCACTTCCCCTTTAAGGCGGCCTCGTGCGACGCCCGGCGGGCCGGAAGGGGCGGTACCCGGGGCTGCTGCCAGCTCGCCCGCCGCCACCGCCACCGCCACCGCCAGCCCCGGCCACACGGGGGCGCCGCGCGCGGTCACACTTCCTGGGGCAGCACCCAGGGCCCGGCTAGGCGGACGGGTGAGCTTCCCGGAGCGGGATGAGGGCTCCAAGGTCTGCAGGAGAATGTTTCTCGGCCCCAGGGACGATGGGCACAGCGAAGGCTTTCCAGAATGGGCTAGAAGCAGGGCTTCGGAGAGCCACTGGCCGGTCCTCTTTAGGTTTCTGTTTCATGGGGAAAGCGGTGGAGAGGGGTCAAGACATCCAGGTGGGACAGGGTCAGATGTGGGTCACACCAGGGCTCCCTGCCGACTCCCTGCAGCTGACTTGTGAGACTGGGCGCAGGAAGAACGATCTGGAAGCTCACAGCATCTCTACCTACCTCCTGGGCCCTGGATCCCATCTTTTCTTGGCCCTCTGGGACCCTGCTCCAGTGGTGGTTAGGTCTTTGCAGCATCTGCCCTCTTTTCTTCTTTGCTCTCTCCTTCCGCTAGCACAGAAAACGTGTTTACGTCTCTTAGAGACAGACCTTTGCTCCGGCTGTCCTCCTCCCTCTTGGCATGCTTGAGGATGGCGGGCTCTGGCGGCTCCCACCCCTTTCTCTGAAGCTCACAGAGCGCCATACTTGGCCTGTCTGGCATCTCCCCACAGGCCCCTGACATGCCTCCATCATAGCCTTATCATTCGCAGTAGCAGTAGCAGCCACAGTAGCAGCCACCAGGAAACTGTCATCTCTAAGCTTCTCTGGAGTTCCTCTCTTCCCCACCGGTCTCTGACCTAGATGAACCTAGACGAACATGCTTCCCTGCCTCCTCTTGGCTCAGGGGTCTTCCTTAGGCACAGCGCACTCCACACCAGTTTTCCTGCTTAAGACCTTCCCGGGGTTCCTGAAGCCCTCGGAGGGATCGCAGCTTTTCAGCACGGCTTCTGACGTTGTCACCATGTGGCCCTTTCCTGCCCACCTGTCTCGCTCTTGGCACTCATTGGCGGCCTTAACCCAGCCACAACTCCTTGGGGTTCCGAGAATGTGCCAGGGCTCCCACCCTCACGGGTTTGCAGTTGCAGCTCCGTCCAGCAGATACTCAGGTAGCTGGAAGATGGCCTGGCATCCCCTGGCGCATCCTTCTTCAGCCTCAGCACTCATCTGCTTCCCCGACACCCCTCTCCGCCCCCCGTCAAGCAGCCCGGGCACCTTCCTCTTCTGTTTTTTCCAGCTGGATGTCAGCTTGAAAGGCAGGTCTTCGCTAGCCACCCCCTTGTCCACTTGATCCTGACCCCTGAGGGCTGCCACCCTCCCCGCCCACAGGCTGTCCATCCAGAGACTACTTCAAGAGTGGTTTGCAGAAATCAGGTCAGCCTGAGACACACCTCCATGGCAGCCTCTTCCCAGAAGCTGCAGCCACTCCCCAAGAGGAGGCCGGCCACACCCTGAGCCCCAGTGGCTTCTGACAGGGACAGCTCTTACTGAGACTCCCAAGCTGAGGACGGAACTAGTGGGCACACACACACTAAGTGAACCAGGACTTGGTCCCACTTCCAATTCTGCTGGACTGCAGCTCCCGGGACAGCCCAGGCACCTCAGGGATGCTCAGGATACACACACGCCATGAATGTCAACCCTGTTTTACCATTTAAGGCCAGGACGCTCGAGTGCACCTCCAAGTAGCTGTGTTCACATACATGTGCCTGTGATGCTGAACTCGGAGCAGTTCTTGTCACCTCCAAGCCATTGGCAGCCTGATGGAGGACGGCTGTAGGGGAACCACGAGCTCCAGAGAGTGCTCCACCTCATCGGAAGCCTGGGAATCGGGGGGAGGGGGGGCGGCGCACAGCGTGTCCTTTGGGCCAGGAGCAGGTCAGCAGAGACCTTGGGAGGGTCTCAGGCAAGAGGCACCAGAGGAGTCAGAGCTGGGGGGTTTCCAAAAGCCCTGCAGCCCATCGGGGACACCCAGGATGCTGCCCTGGCCCTCTGGGACAGGGAAGCTGTGCTGCTCTGCAGAAGGCCCTTCCCGCCTGCCGGCTCAGAGCTCCCCTCTGGGCAGGTGGACCCCAAGGCAGGCCAGTGTGGGGTGCCGGCCAGTGCCCTGTCCTCCCCAGGGTGCCCAAAAAGCGGCTGGCTTCTGTGTGTTCCCAGGAAGTGCCCCACCTTGCTGTCCTGGGAGCTGTCTTGATAATGAAAGCCCAGACCTGGAGTCACTTTCACAGAGAGATTTATCGAGAATGCTAACAGCACAGGATACAGTACTTCCCAACAAAAGGTGCGAACGCGTCACTTAGAAAGGCATGCTGAGTATTCTTGGCTTTCACACGTATTAAAAAACTTACAAAAATAAAATAAAACTGCGTGCTGCCCATCTTTTCAAATAGTAAAAGAACCTTATGAAAAAATCACTTGGTTTTACAACAAAAGACACAAACGGACATTTTTATGTAAATTTATAAGGCAAACTCTTTATATAATAAATAGGTTACAGGGATTCAGTGGGGGGTGTTTTTGAAACGTATACAGGTACATTCAGACAGGTTTACTGAAATGGTACAAATTTCCTTAATAAATTGCCTTTTGTTTTTAAATATATCAGTGCTTTCAGTCATTTGGCTATACACAAAGAACCTTTTTTTGAACACTACAAAAAAGCAATCAATATTTTTTTTGTTTTTAAAACGACCTACTTAAGTTTTCTAAAGTAATTGTCCCAAAACACAAAAACTGAAGGTGAATGCAATAGAGGGCTTTTGGAGATCATCTCCAGCCAAGTCTGTTCTTGGGTGACTCCCCACACCCCACACACACTTTTCCAGCCCTTTTCCTCCTGGGCTGGAGCCAGCTCCCTCTGCACAGGGAGACCAGGGTCCCTGGGACTCAGGAGGGGGCGGTGACCCTGCTTGGTTCTTCTCGCTCCTAAGCCCCATGCCTGAATGGTCAGCACTGTCCTTGAAGAGGGGGGGCCCCCGGGTGCTAAGGGAGCACGTGGCCACCCCTGTTTCGTCAGTCCTCAACAGTGTCTGGGAGGTAACGGCTACTCTGAAGAGGATCGGGTTTTGCCATGAAACGAGAAGGGGGGGGTTTCTCACATCCAAATTTTGCTGGGGATCAGATGACAGCCAAGGGTGTGCACCCCTCCCCCACCCCGCCATCATCTCCTCATCTGGGAAAGTGGGGAATCCAGAGGTTATGTTAGTGTCGTGCACTGTGGGGCAGGGTGGACTTGATGATGGTACCCCGAACAGTAATGCCCCCCTGAATCAAAATGCCCTGTCCACACACACCTGACCTGTGGCCACAGTGGAGGTCTCTAGGGAGACGCCCACCCTCTGGCCAAGCCTTGCCCCGCAAGCCCACCCTGACCTCCTCCCGCCAAGGTGTGGCTGGCTCTGCTCACACCCCTCCCAGCTCCCCTTGCAGGAATGTCAACCTTGTCCGTCCTTAAAAAAAGTAATCCTGATGCTACTAATCTGGGAGTGGACCAAAACCTGGTTTTGCTCTGACTTCACAAATTGCAGCATGTCAGCTATTCGATTTGTCAGCTCTAGGTGTCACTTCTTTGGGTGGCTTCTGGCTGATCTGGGCAGGGGGTCCTGTCTTTGGCTCTCCCCCTCCTGGGGCAAGAGGACAGCCCCTATCCTGGTTACCATCCCCTCCCTCCAAATTCTTTTGTTGGTAAAGAAAAGGTGTCTAGAAGCATTTGTCTCTGGAACAATTACTTTAAACATGGTTACAATACAGACTTCAGTTCAAACACAGAAGAGATTTACTTCGCAAAATTCCTTTCACCCACCGAAAATTACACAAATAGATGCCTCAACACCACAGTTAAGAGGACCAGTAGAGAGAAGCTCATGTTTGGAACACAAAAGGAGAACTCAAAACCAAACCAAACCCAAACAGAAACAACCCCAGAGAGACGAGGGGAGGGCGGAGGAGGGGAGGAGCGCAAACACAGCACACGGTACAGTGTCCGGGTACAGGAGCCCCGCACGAGGAGCGGGCTCGGCACACCGAGTAACAGTCCTGGTGATATTTGGTCATATATTCATCAACTACTGACTCTGAAGCGGCTGTTATTGATTGAAGCAGTGACAACTCAAACGGAAAAGGAGGCCTTGGGAGCAAGGGAAGGAGCAGGTTTTGAGTTCTGCAAGCCTTTGCCACGCCACCGTCCAGCAACCCAGGAACAGTGCACCGGGTGGGCCCTGCTGCCTGGGGCAGGCCGGGTGAGAGGTCACCGGCTGAGGCTAACTCAGTGCCGCTTTCAGATCTCGGGCAGAACTGGATATGTGCCAACACCCATCTGCAAGAGGCTGGACAGCAGTGGTTGCAGCAGCTTCCTCTGACCCCCCGGCCCAGGCTGGGTGGGAGAAAAGGCAGGGACCCACCACTAATACTGAACCAAAGGTGGGGCCCAGCCCCCAGGCCCAGGTCCTCCTGGGGGCCTGAGGGGTGCCTGGCCACCTGAAGGGCCTCTACGGGTTTCTTTTGGACGCAGGCCTCAGAAGTGATGCGGGGAGGGAAGCTTTTGGCCCTGGTGATTATAATGCTCTCTGCTTTGGAAGAACAAGTTTCTGGGTATTATTATTATTTTTTTTGGTGCTTTTTTACTTACTTAAAAAATGATCAAAAAGAACTTACGGCTAAACTCTCTAGCAGATATTGCTCAGTAAGAATTACAAAAGCAAATGCAATTACTCGTAGGATGGGGTGGGGGGAAGAGGAAGGAACGTTTCTGGAGTCTTCGCTACCTCCTGGAAGGGACCCGCTGGACCGCACGTGTGGTTCTGGGGTCCCTGATGTTCTATCTGGTATGGCTCACACTTTCTGAATCAAGACACGGCCTTCCGTCTCCCCTGCGGTCCCCAGACTCGGCAGAGAGGGGCCCTACCAGTGGGGAGGCTTGCTGCCTGTCTGCACACCATCACTCTGACTGGGTCACTGGAGGGTGTCGGAGGGGGCAGGCCACCCCCATGAACGCCAGCTGCCCCACCCAGAGATCAAACGGGACCAGGCAGTGTCAACTACATCCTGGGCTTCGCCAGAGCCAGGGAACACGCTTGCATCCACCCACTGAAACGAACTGTCCTGCCTATGCCAGCGCCCTGGGGCCTCTCTCACAAGCTCGGGAGAAACAGTGCGAAACCCAGGAGCTGCCTCCTTCGCTCGGCACTGGGAAGCCCTTGAAAGAAGCGAGGAAAAGACCACGGCTCTGCTTGGACACGAGTGACCAGCAGACGGATTTGTCAGTTTGTTTTTTTGTTGTTGTTTTTTCTTCATTTGTGTTTTTTTTTTTTTTTTTTGGTTTTTAAAAATTTTCCCTTGTCCTATGCTATGGTTATCAGAAATATTGTAATTAAGCAACAAGTATAATTTTAACAGGTGTGTGTGTGTGTGTGTGTGTGTGCGCGTGTGTGTGTAGCCACAAGCAAAATGAGTTTATAACTGTGCAATATACAGATATATATATATAAAAATTTAACTGCTTTGTGTGTCTAGTTGGTGTATTTAAATAAAAGGGACAGGAGAGGGAAAAGCAAAACTAAAGAGCAAAACAAATGCCCAGGAGAGAAAAGACCAAGCAGGTCTATGCGTATAGTCTAGAAGATACTGGATATAATCAGGGTCACCAGGAAGAACAGCTTTGTCACTTGACACACAGACACTTTGGGGAGAGGGACTACCACTGGGCAGGAGCCAAACCTTGTGGCCTTTTCCCCTCACCGCTGAGCAGGAATTGAGGAGATAGATGACCGAGGGGGCGGCCGGCAGAGCCAAGTCAAGTTTCCCCAATGTTTGGAAACCCCCAGCTGGAGCCCCTTCCATGAAGGTCCTCTCCACTGCCCTCCCTCAGCCCCAGGCCCCAAGGAGGGCAGAGCCAGGGACTGTCCTCAGGGGCAGGCCACACCATGGGCAGATGCTCTGGAGGAGACATCACCCTCTCCTGCTTAGTGGCCTGGGCCCTAATTTGAACCAATTCTTCCTGACACCTCGGCATTTGGGGTAGGCTCACTGGAGATGACAGAGGAGGAAGGAACAGGTCAATCAGGTAGCGAGGAGGTTGCGCACCTTCACAATTCCCTGCTGAGCGCCCCCCCTCCCACCTGGAGCTGGGCTCCTGTAGCTTTGCGACAGGCAGGTCTCCCTGCAGGGACCACTACCCGAGAGACAGAGAAACAGAGAGACAGACTTTCCAGTGACCCAAGGGCCCCAAGGCGCAGACCCAGCAGTTTCAGGCTGGATTCCCCTTCACCTGCAGCGCTGACCACACAGCAGGCCAGGCTCCAAGTCCTCTTAGACCAGCCTTTTTTTGGCGAAAGCTTGCTCTTATTCACTCAGAAACATCAAGATGTAGTTTCCTGCTCAAGATTTCAAAGTCTTCCTTCTGCAATGTTGACAAGGGGCTTCAAAGTTCCCTTTTTCCCCCCTTGAACATGGAACTTTAGACCCTGGGTGAGGCAGTATCCTAGAGAGCTCTAACAATTCCGCTATGTTTTCTAAAGATTGATACCATTTCAAAAAGATAAAAAAGCAAAAACTGAGACTCAACAAACCCCTCTGGTAGACAGGTTCACGCACAGAGCGCTGAGATGGGGCCCTTGCAGAGAGCAACTGAGAGCCGGAATGCAACGTGGCAGGGCTGTCGGGCTCGAGAATGGGGGTTCCACTATGAGCCTGGCAACATGCCTGTGCCCCAGCCCTCCCCGGGCACTGGTCAGTACTCAGGGGGTCAGTAGGCTGATGCCCACAAGGCTCTAGAGAGAGCTCCCTTCCCCGAGGTCTGGATGGTCTGGGCCACCCACACGGGCAACTTGCATTAGGAAAACAATTTGGGGCCATGACCCCAACTAGAGATGGCTGCACCAAGCTAGGGCTGATGCCTGTGACCTCCCCCAGCCCTGTCAGGAACACTCGGGAGAGGGGTACAGAGCTCAGCTGCCAGGCGCCACGAGATCCGGGCTGCCATACCTGGTGGCTTCCCTTTACATCCTCTGTTCCCTCCTGGGCTCACGCTGCTTTGTTAGAAGTCACTTCAAATCCAGACGTCCTGTCAGCTAAACCAACTCCTCTCCCACCAAAGATGGCGGCGTTCTTGTGGCTATTAGGCACCCTCCTTCATGATGGCTGTCACGGCAATGACAGGCAGGGAGGCAGGTGACAACCTGGTGCTGTTCCGAGTCCCATCGCCACTGCTTGTAGCCTCTAAGCTGGCATACCACCGCCGAGCAGACTGTTACTAGCACCGGCACGGGGGCTCAGGAGAGAAGTCAGGTGCTGTCTGTGGCCGGCATGCCCGGGCCACCACCGCGGCTTCCACCGTCCAGGGAGCTGAGGGGAGTGGCGGGGGGGCAGGGCATTTCTGGGGGTCTCCTGTGCCTTTCGATAAGGACTATGGTGCAGAAGGGACGTGTACTGGACCCTGCCATGGCCCAGGGGCCCTGCCTCACTGTGGTGTCAACGCCAGCAATGACATGGGTTAGGAGAGCTGAGTGACAGGCACAGGGCAGGGAGACCCAACGTACGGACCTAGCCCCTCGGGTATCTGAAAGCTGTCTTATCAACTCCTGCCTTCTGGACACAGTCCCTAAGGGATGCCCCCTGAATCTTCACGGTGTTCAAGTACACACAGAATCAACATCACACTCCCCAACTGGGCCAGACACAGCTGGTGAGAGTTCCAAAGCTAGGCCTGCCCTCCAACCTTCTGTCCACCTGTCTCCAGGACAGAAGTGGTATAGGACCTTCGGCACCCCTGCCCAAAGGTGACTCACTCCTAATGTCTGTATCTGGGGGAGAGGGAATGTGGATGAAAGGGGGAGAAAACCCTAAGGTGCCACCTGCAGCCTTGAAACTCTAGGGGTGGGAGCTGGGGAGTGAGGGGCCTGTAGGTCAGGCTGGGCAGAAAGGAAACGCCACTTGAGATTCGGTGTTCTTGACCATCACCATCAGTCAGCTCCAGAATCAACTGTTAAAGGTCAAAGGGGGGCATGGCAGGCCCAGCTCTCCTTGGCCCAGGAGCAGATGGTGCCAAGCTGCTGGGGAGGTCAGCTTTGGAGACCATTCCCAGGAGCCCCGTTTTATGGATTCATTGTAATTAATGCCTCAAAACCTGACCCAGCAAACCAGATGGTACCTCCATGACAAACGAGCTGGACAGCAGGCTCATGTGGACAGGGGTCCTCTGAGAGTGCCAGGAGCCTTTTGTCCTTGGAGGAAAGAAGGAACCTGACAGACACGCCCCCTCTTCCAACTCCCATCCCTTCCTGGGGGAGGACTCAGAAGTGAAGCCCAGCGGGTGGACAGCAGAGTGGGTTTGGTTGGGGGACTTGCTTTTGCAGCATCAAGAAACAGATACAAAAAATGCTAGAAAGGGCAGCTACTACTCCACAAACAGAACAGGGCAAACTCCCTTGCTTCTAACCGTTCTGGGAGAGAGAGACACGGTTTCATTTTTTTTCTGAAGCTACTGATTGGAACTGTCAACTAGGGGTCCTGATCACTACAGGACTGGCAAGGAAGTGCTAGATGGTTTCTAAGATGTTTCACTCCTTCATGGTTACACCGCAGTGAGAAAAGCTGGGGGATAGTAACTGAAATACACGAGACAACACGCACTTGACAGTTCATGGCAGCAGCTCACGTGGGACGTGCTTGTGGGTGTTTCTGGAAGCATAAGACTGCTGTCTCGTTTGCTACTTTGATAAGGTACTTCTCAGTTGGACAGATTTAGATATAAGAGACATCTCTGTAAACACAGAAAAGGATATACCAATATGATGAAGATATGCAGCTAGATAAGGACTTCCTGAACAGAGGGTAAAAGCACAGGGTCTCGAATTGAAACTGACCAATGAACACCCCGCAACAAACCCAAGCCTCAATGCCCCAACACCACAGCCCTGGTGCTGATGGGGAAAAGCATGAGGTACCAGCCACCCCCCACAGCCTCCAGCAAGTGAAGCCCACATGGGGCCCAGCAGAGAAGAACTCCTGCTCAGAGGAGTGGCAGGGGGGTATCTGCACTCGTTTTGCCTGCTGCCCGGCCCAACTACCCCACCCTAGCCGGGTCCTGCATAGGCCAAGGTCAGGGCTTGGCCACTCCGTGACACTGGCAGGCCACAGTGAGTCTCTGTGCTGCCCTTGGCTCTGCAGTCCCAATCTGGGTCCACTTCTCCTACCCACTACCGTTGAGTGGGAAGGCTGAGGAGACCTGGGATCCAGGGTCTGACCAAAGGAGGGGAGTCCTGGGAGAGGAAGATCCTGCCTCTCCCGTGCCCCTCAGAGAGGCTGGGGTACTAGGGCTGGGGGAACTCAGCAGAGTCTGGGGCTTCCTCAGGGCTCAGAAATGGGTGGGAGCGGGGGCTGGGGCAGACAGCAGGAAGGCCAAGGGTGGGGGGAGTTCTGGGGGCCTAAGCTGACCAGTGTCGGCTCGGGGTACAGTCGGGCACTGCGGCTGCCTGGAACAGAAGGGAGCAGTGAGGACGAGGGAGGAGGGGGAGAAATGAAAAGGCTGAAATGAAAGGAGACAGAAACCGAAGGAGAGGAGAGAAACCAATCAGGAAGTCCTTATAAATTGCAGCAAACACTTAGAGTTTCGGAGCTTCGTGGGAACCCTATGTGCTGAGCCCACTTGAAAACAAGCGCAGGTATATACAGATCCAGGTAGTTGTCAACACCGTCACGTCTAGTGGCCTGAGGGACAAAGGGTCACCAAGTCAAGCCCGCTAGCTTGCTCGCAGAGCAGGTTTGTTTTGAAGTGGGAACATGAAGACTCAATAGTGCAAATAGTTCTAAGCTGTCCCTAAAGGAGTTGAGAATTGGAAAAGTTTTGGAAGAACATTTCCCCTGCTTTCCCCCTGGCCCCCGGCCCCATCTACTAAGGCTCGAACTAGCGGGCACAACTGCTCTGAGCAGCTAGGGATGCCCTCCACCTGGCTCGCGGCACTCCGCCGGCTGCAGCCTGGGCCAGCCTGCCAGGGCCTTGGCCCGTGGCCTTGGTGGCCTGTTTAGCGCTACCTGCTGGAGGCCAGCCCTGGGCCAATGTCACCTCCGGTGCAGGCCAGTCGACACCCAGGGGGGCTCAAGGGATGCCTCCCTCCTAGCCAGGCCAGAACTGGGGCCGACAGATGCTACATCCCCATCCTGTGAAATGTCTTGGTCGATTTGGGATTGGGGCTGGCAGGGAGCCGTCTGTGTGCCCCCGTGGGTGGGATCACACGGGCTGGAGCCACTGGCCGTCTCCACCATCTCGAAAGGATCCAACTGTCTCTCTTGCCTCGGACCTCCTGGTCCCGACATGGGTGGGCGTAAGGGAAGTGGGAGGTTGAGGGGAGCTCGAGGCCGGGCGGGGTGGGGGTGGGGGGAGGAGAGCTGAGACTGGGGTACTGATGGCCCCAAACCAGGAGTGTCTTCTCAAGCGCTCTCTGTCCCTAGTGACCATGTGGGGGGACTGGGTGGGAGGGAGGTGCAGGCACACCCTAAGAAGCCTGGGCAACAGCTTGTCTGGTCAGTAGTATCTGCAGCAAGCCTTGTTGAAGGAGCCTAGTTTAGAAAAGTGCAAAGCTACTTCTGGCCCTGGTTAGGTCTTCAACCTGACTGTGCTTGTCGATAAGAAAAAAACATCCCCAATGCTCCAACTACTCCCACCCTGAAGCCACGAAACTCTAAGTTTACTGAAAGAAAAAAAAATATTTTTTATTTCAGTTAATCGGGAAGCTTTGTCAGAGCCCTACCCATAAGGAGAAGAGACAACAGCTGCCTTTATTCTTGTTGGTTTGCTTTGCAATCCGCTCTGCGTAAAGTCAGCTAACTCTCTCGGTCACGGGCGTCCGGCTGTCCACAGGCTCCTCTCTGTTTGGCCTTGGCATGGAGGATGAGACAATGTCTTTGCGCTCTCCCTCCCCTCGGTGTTTGTACTTTTCTGTGGCCGGGGCCGCGGTGGCGAGCGTGGGCTGAGTCTTAGCAGGCTCCTTGGGGCAGCCGTCGCTCTCCAGCGAGCCTGCTCTCGGCATCTTCTCCTCTTTGCAGACGCTGCTGCTCAAGTCCTGGGGCTCGGGGGGGCTGGCGGGGTCCTCGGAGCTCTGGGGCTCAGGCGGGGGTGGGGGCGGGGGCAGGAGCAGTGGCGCGGGGGCCTTCGGGGGCTCTGCGTGGTGGTGGTGGTGGTGGTGCTCCTTCTTGGGGGGCGAGGAGGCGCTGCCACTGCGCCCCTTGGGGCTGCTCTCCTTGCTTTTCCGCCCTGGGCTCTTGCAGGTCTTCAGTCCCTTCCCACTCTTCTCGCCGAGCGTGGACACCAGCAGGGGCTTCACCACCTCCTTCACCTCAATGCTCACCGTCTCCCGGGTCTTGCGCTTCTTGATGGGGAGCACGGTCTCCTGCACGGACCGGATGGACGACTCCTTCACGGCTTTCTTTTTGGCCTCGGCGGCGGCGGCGGCAACCACACTGCCTGGCTTTCGGCCTCGTTTCTTAGGAATGGCCTGGGGGTCGGCCTCTGCTTTTCGCTTCCGGCCAGGGCGCTTGATGACCATGACCTGGGCCGAAGTGGTGGCCCCACCCCCTTCCGCCTTGCTGCCCGGCGCAGCTTGGAAAGGCATCTTGACGAGCAGCTTGCCAGGACTTTTCTCCAGAACCCTTTTCACCTGCACGCCCTCTGACGCGGCTGCCTTGGGTCTCGTGGTGCCACTCCCTTTGGGGCGTCCCCGACCTCTGCCAGTTCCTGGAGCTTTGGGAGATTTGGGCTTCTTAGGTGGTTTCTGCTCTCGCCGGGAGGGGCTCCCTCTCCCGGTTACCGTGAAGTCAAAATCATTAGGGTCCAGGGAGGTGTCGCCTACCTTTTCGAAGTATGCAATCAACTCCACTTTAGAGCGAAAGGCTTTTCCCTGGGGACTGTGGGAACAAGCGGAGACACACAAAGAATGGTTAGAAGCTTCCAGAGCAATACTGGAGGTGGGGCACAGGAGAAGGTGGGTGGTGAACCCTCTGACGGGAGGCGTTCTGCAACTGACATGCCTGATGATACAGCTCACCAAGGACACTTAAGAGAAGCTGAGATGAACTAAAACTAGGGAGCTATGGTCCCACTTACACAGGAAGCAACCAAGTCACCTGATGGCCATAGGTGCCTGTGTGGCCTGCTGTTATCTGGATGCCCCCGGGAGCTGCACTCCTCAGCCCCCCAAAGGGGTCTGGCCCAGGGACCCTGTCTACCTGCCGGACTGAACTCTCCAGGAATCAGTTTCCTCATTCGCCAGTAGGATGATGCTTTGCTCACCTTTATCTGAGTTAGTGGAATTAAATGAGACTGTCTATGAGTGACTTTTGAAAATGGCTAACCTGTCTGGAGTCATCTAAGGGGGACAAGTGAAATGAACATAGTCACACTCGTCCTCTAAAGATCTGGCTCGGAAGTGACTCTGTTTCAACAAGTAACACTCGACCACCAGCCCACAGCTGGACGAAGGCCAGAGGGACAGTGAGAAAAGCACTCTGAGCCCATCTGGGGCTCTCTCTAGGCTGTATCAGACAGCCCCCCTTTCCCAGCATGCCTCACACAACAGACTGAACCCTATGAATTCATATTTCTCAGGGCTCATGAAGTATTGGCACAGAAGGACTCTCCCACAAAGAAGAGGTTCCCAGATTCTGAGGACAGCCTCCCTGCTGGGAAACCAACAGCAGAGTATGTGTGGCGAAACTCTGCATCCCCAGTGCTATTCTTCCTCCAGACAAGGCCCTGATGGACATCTACCTCAGGGCAGTGACCTCCCCAGGTGGTCATTCCAAGCATACCTGGTCGCACCCCACCAGCAGTGGTCACTACTCAAGACCAGACTCAAAGTGGGGTTACGCACACACACTTTCTTGATCATGAGCCGCAAGGAGCTAACACTCCAAGGGGTCCCCATCAGTTTCTTAGAGGTAGTCCCTGACTATTCCCCCCCAACTCCCCCACCACTAGCCTTCCCTGCTCTGCAGAGACAGGAATCATCCTCACTTACTTGATCAAGTACACATCATACTTCCCAGCGGAGCGGCCAGATTTCCTTTGCTTAAGCTTTCGGGTCCAACCTTCGGGCAGAGTGGGGTCATCGTACATGGGGCCCCGGTCGCGAATGATGGAGCGCCGCTGCTTGGGGGACGCAGAAGCTTCTGGCACGGCTGGGGCCGAGCCTGACCCTTCTGAGGTCTCTGCTTTGCCAGCCTCTGCGGGCTCGGCAGAGTGGTGGGCTGCTGGCTGCAGGGGCTCATGCTTGCCCTCTTTGTCTTCTTTCTTATCCTTCTTCACCTTTTTGAACTTCAAAGGTTTGTCCTTCAGGCCCTGGAGATCCTGCTCTTCGGACTTTTCTTCCCTGAAGTGTTAAACAAGGATGTCATTATCACAGGGAACAAACTGGTGTGCAGAAAAAAGTGGGCGCCAGCAGGTCTGGGGTGCCCAGACACGGGCAGTGCCCCAGGAAAGGGGCTGTCCTGCCAGCGTCCCCCAGATCGAAATGCCCTTCCCCTTTACAGATGACTTGAGAGCCCGGGGCTGCTGACAGTGATGGCCTGCAGCACCCTACCGACACTGTGGTCACCCTGAGGCCCATCCCTAGCAGGCTTGCCCAGATGGCTTCTCAGTGTTATGAGCTAGGGCCTCTGGGTTGGACAGATGACGAGAGGCTCTCTCGCCTGTTGGAGAGGGACCTACTCACCAAAAAGGAGGGCGGGGCTCCTCTTCCCCAGGGCCTAGCCTGAGTGTTACTCTAAGCTTTTGTGTTTGGGGTTTTCTCAAACGGGTGTTCAATGAAAACCGCACAGTACACCTTGATGATGGGAAGAGCCCAACACTGCCCCTGGGGAGGTGGTGCTGAGTGCAGTGCTGAGGAAAAATCTGCAGATTTGGAGTAAGCCACACCAAGCCCAAATCGTGACTTTCTGCCATTTCCAAACATGGATCTGCACAACTGACTTCAACGTCCCGTGCCTCAGTCTCCTCATCTTGACAACCAAGGTGGGTACCAACACCCTAGACAGAGAAGAGTCACAAAAGCATTGTCTAAACAGTGGGATGGGGCAACCAGACACTGCTGCCCAGGGTTCTCACGTGAGAAGAGGAGCAGTTCCCTGCTGGGGGAGTCTTTCTCACCAGATTCTCCTGACAATGCGAGGCTTTGGCACTGGGACATGCCCATTCCAGGAATGGGTCCCCATTCCTCCATGCTGACAGACCAGCTCCTCCCCTATGTGTGGGTCCCACCTGGTAGGGCCCCCTCCTTATCTCCTTGGACAATGGTTACTGTGAGGCTCCAGACTCCAGGATCAGAGTCTGGCTGGGCCAACAGGGCAAGAGCATCACCTGGGCCAGGGAAGCCCGGAAACCAGAACTGTGGGCTCACAGCCAGCCACCTGCAAAGCCCTCTCTTAGAAGCTCATCCCGGAAAAAAGCCAGACTCATCTGTATTCCAAATCTCATCCCCAGAGCCCCCGGGTCCATGCGGCTCACAACAGCCCACCCCAAGTGACTTCCCTTGCTGGCCATGTCCTGGAGACCACCACCAAGGCACCATGGCCTGCCCTGGCCATAAGACTCGAATGACATGGCTCAGTCCCCAGAGGTGAGCTCGCACCAGGAACTCACAGGTTGGGCCTGAGGAGACAGGGCGTGGAAAGAGCACACCCCGCCCTCCTACCTATCCTGGGTGTCTCTAGCAGAGCTCGAGGGTGAGCCTAGGCTTAGCTCTGTGTCGGAAACCCAGACAGTCCCAGGCCACAGCAAAACGTGGCCCCGATGGCCAAGTCTGGCTTCTTCAGAGCCCTCATGTGCGTTTGCAGATACTGTAACTACGATGAGCTTTGGCATGAACCATGTGCCCCAGGAATGCCCCTTAGGTACCAGCAAGGGTGTCAATGCCATCTAGGGCCAGCCCTTCTAGAAATTTACCAGGAAGACATACCCACAGAAACGCAAAACAACATTCTGCATTTGAGCATAATGCTATTGGCGATAGCATTCTTTTTACTGGCCCAAGACTGTGGCCACGCCAGACAGCCACCGCCCGAGACCTACTGGGCCAACACTGACATGTGCACACTATGGAGAGTCAGGCAGCCTGAACCCCGGGGTGGGACCCCCAGGAACCACTGTGAGGGCTCACGGTCCACGGGAGGGCACCCTCCAGGGGAGAAATGGAGGAGACTTTAGGAAGCAGAGGGCAGAAATGCACGGAACTAGTCCAGCATGGGGTAGGCGGGACTGAGGTGAGGACTGGCACAGGGCCCGAACTCGCCAGGTGTGTGGACCAGAATTTCATTTTCTGAATCACGTAAAAGTTTACATAACCAAAAAGAAAATGAAGACAGAAGGGAAGAGACTAGAACACGTCTAGCATCCATGGAGGGGAAGCAGGCTGGCTCAGTTCCTAGGGCAGCCTGTGCTGGGGAAAGTGAAGGTCCAAAAGCATGAATTGCTTAGATTTCAGCTAAGAAAAGAACCTGCTTGGCGATGTTGGGGGGGGGGAAAGGAGGGAAAGACCGAAAGTGAGGGAGGGTCTCAAGGGTCTTATGGGGAAGAAGGTTCTGGGCAGCAGAGAGGCCTCAGGGGGAGGTCATGGAGCTGTGTCGGGTTTGATTCTGGGTGTGATGGGATTCCTTCAGCTGCTGTGTGGAGAGTAGCCTGCGGGAGACCCCAGAGAGCAGCAGGTGGCCTGGGGGACTCTGAGGCCTGCTAAACTCCACGACACAGCAGCCCTGCAGTAGCGTCACCTTGATGATCGGGGGCAGGGGATGGCAATTCCTCAGGGGGCAATGCCCAGGGCAGGGCAGACCACTCCAGGGGCTCTCAAGGCACGGTCCCAGGTGAGGCTGGTGGGGACTCGGGACGTGACCAGGAGGTGGAGCAACACAGCTGGCCAGTGTGGGGACAAGTGCCACCAACTGAGGACGGGGAAACCTGGGCCAGCAGCAGGGTGGAGCAACAGCCAGCCCTGCGAGGAGGAACTGCAGGAGCAGCTAACACTGCATTATAAGCTGTCTCCACTTCAACACAAAGGAACAACTAAAAAGAAGCTCAAGGAGGGGAGGAGAGAATTCTCTGGCTACCAAGTGGGAAGACCCCTGTGCCCAGACTGTGACTTGGCCTAAACGAATTGTGTGGGCTTTGAAAGATTTTTATTACAATCACATAGACATAACGTAAAATCTGCCCTTTCACGTGTTTCTAAGTGTTTGAAAAATGAGTTTTGAATAGCACCAAAGATGGGAATAAGACAGCCTTTAACTATCTATGACGTCCTGGCTCTTTCAAATTGAAATTACTTGAAGCCACTATGAAAATATGGTGATTTTCAATTCTGTGGACTGACAGGCACAGAGGTGGTTTGGTACTTTGATTTTCTGAACGCTACTGAAAACAAATAGAAGTCCACAAAGAAGCCTGGAAGCCATTCTGCTGGGTGCAAAGTGAAGGCAAAAAGGGTGCCAAACAGGCAATCCAAGTGAATTACTCCTGGCTCAGCTGCCTGCTCGGTGGCAGGGTAACCTGAAGGAGGGAGGCCAGGCAAATACTCGAGGCCCCCCAGCATGAGGGTTATGGGATTTGTTAAAACACAGTTTCAAAGAAACCAAACAGTCCTCTTTTCATCCCCCCTTTCATCAGACTGTGTATCTCTGTGTGCATGTGCGCGTGCATACACACCGCCCTGGAGAGGACCGTGAGAACTGAGCACCTAGCTCTTAAGTTCATGCATTTGAGACTTGCGGGTATGCACCTGATCAACTCTCCAGTGTTACAGGTCAAAAGAAAAGCAGAGATAACCAGACAAGGTCACCTGTCTGAGGTCATGTCTGAGATGACACGTGCTCATCGATGGCCCTTGCCCGGAGCCAGCCTCAGTTCGGGACGGGGAGGCCAGCGTAGAACCAGACTCACTCTCTAGGCTTCAAGCGCTCCCCGTTTGGGGGAGCAGATGAGGGGAGGTAGCCAAGGGTGACCCTGTCCTCTGTCCCAGGCCAGAGGCAGGCCAGACACAGTGGGTCTTCAGGGCTGATGACAAGTGCTCTGGGCAAGGCAGACCAGGTGGGCCTGGGTGACCCCAGCAACAGTTCTATCCTGCCACCACTGGGACGCCCCTCCCTGGAGGAATGAATGAGTCGGGGTAAACCCCATGTATCACCCTGGCTCTCGACTTCTGAGAGGCCTTCCCTGCTCCCCGCAGTGCCCCAGAGAGCACACATGTCCTCTTTCCTGTTGTCCCCCTACTCAGGAACCATGTGCCAAGGGACAATGACACCCCCTGGCCATCAGCTTCAAAGAGGCAGCCAGGACATGCTGACTATGGGCACCTGGGACCTGGGGTTGGCAGGAGAAGGTGCCGGAGCAGCCACCTGCTGCCCAGGAAAGCCGAGAGTGACGACTACAGCAACGGAGAGTGTGTGGCCACAGAGGACGGTCATGCTTGGGGTGCAGGTCCATGGATCGGCTCCCCACAGTGAGGCAGAGAGACCTGCAGAGACTCCTCTGGCTGAAACTACCAAAACTGCTGGACTGAACGACTTCCAGAAGATGCAATAGAAGACAGTGCTTACAAAGGCTGACCGATACGCACAAACTGGCCAGAGACAAAGGATTACGCAGGCTAAAGAGGCTGGGAAGGGAGGAAGGGAGTCCTGTTCAGAGAGGACTCCGGCAGGTGCCCCGTGGCCAGCCAGCAGAAGAGCTGGGGACAGGGAAAAGTGGTGATAGCAGCGCCTCCTGAGGCCACGAGGAAAGGCCTGGAAACAGAGGGGCATCCCACGTAGCAGCGGGCATGGACTCTCCAGAATGGGCTGCGGCTTGGGCAGATAAAGGGCCGATGACTGAAGACATGGGCCACCCAGGAGCGCCACGCCAGCCTGGACTGGCTCACTCATCTGAAGGCAGCCAGGGAGGTGATGCTGAAGTCCTCGAGGGCTCCAACTGCCCCAGATGGATGCTTGGAGCAGAGTCAGCCTTCAGGCCTCAGGAGGGTGATGGCATGCCTGCCCAGGGCGCAGGGGCAGCATGTCCGCAGAGGTGGATGTGACGGCAACATGACTGGAAACTGTGCTGCCTGACACCGAGATTTCAAAGCTATTTCACCCAAGCTGTCTCACAATTAAAGAGGATGCCTTCACTTCATGTGAATATATTAAGAGAAAAGGCTGGAAACCTTGAAGAAGTGCCTTTTTTAGTGGCTCAAAGCACCAAAACATTTTCAATAGCATTATGTTCTAGATGGTACAGCTACAAGTGTGAAAGAAAAAGTGTTGACATGTTTCCCTGTGTTTAAAAAAAAATCACTGCCAAAGGCAGCCTTGCCCAGGACCGAGCTTTTAATATCAACGGAAAAACTAA